CATGGTATGTACCTATATCAGAATTTCAAGTTTACCGAAATTTGTAATCAAGTTACGCCTTAATTAAGAATATAAAATACTGTGTCTCTGTAGAAAGTTCTGAATGTTTTTCTTAAAATACAAGCCTCAGCCAGGCATGGTAGGGCATGCCTGTAATCCTAGCACTCAGGTGACTGAGGTAAAAAGATCACAATGAATTTGAGGCCAGCTTGAGATACAAAGTGAGTTCAAGGCCAGCCTCAGCCACATGGCAAGATACTGTCTCAAAACAAACAAAAAACCCACTACACTCTCCAGTGCCACAAAACAAAATAAAACAAAGCACAAGCTTTATTCAGTACGTCCTAAGATTCTTTATCCTTATCTAAGGAGTTAGCAAAAGTTTTATATAAAAGGTCAGACCATAAGTAACTTAAACTCTGCAAGCCAGATGGTTGTTAAGTTGCACCTGTTCAACGAATTAGCACAAAACCAGCCACAAATAAATACATAAATCAATGGGTATCGCTGTTCTAATAAAATTTTATTTTCAAAAGCAGGAAAGCAGTGCACTGTAGTTTATCTACCCTTACTTTATATTTTTAATGTTTGCTCCCAAATTTGTCACTTTGCATCACTAATCCAGTTACCTATAACTTGGTAACATTAATTTTAGCTGTTTCCATTACATACAGGGTGTCAGTGTCATTCTAACTTCAATGCTCAATACAACAAATCCAGTAAGAATTAATTATTAAGGGGTACACAAAAATGTATACAGAAAGTGTTGAAATATTATTCATAATAAAAAGCTAGAAGGCTTAATATAGATTTTCATTTTTTAAAAGTTAGTGATTATTAATAAACTATATTCAGAAAAAAGCAAAGATGATAGTAATAATGTTAAACTGTGAAACTTCCACTTTTTCACTTAAGGAAAACATTCAAGAGAGGGTGTGTGGGGCTTCCAGGAGAACATGGCGGACAAATAACAGCACCCACGGAGGCTCTCTGAGATTACTAGTTTAGAATCCAGGAGTGGTGCCGTGTGAGGAGTCCTATGCAAGGGGAGATGTAACCAGCCGACCCAGCAACGAACTAAGTTGAGAGAAACCAACTGGAAATGCAATCCTGATGCTGTAACAGGAACAGATAAAATCTCAGTGCGGAAGCTGGATCCTGTGCCATTGGAAGCTGCGATTTGAATTTCTTGCTGCCTATACTGCGTCCCAATCCACAAGGCAGGGAGAGAGATGCACGAAAGCTCTGAGAGCTAGAATCGGCGAACCAAACGGCATTGAGAAAGGGACTGGCAGGGAGCCCTGTATCGACCTGCGCTGAGTGAGAGAAATAGGCACCCTTTCATAGACTAGGAGGCTCCAACAGAGGACATTCTAGGAACAAGCAGACTAGCCGGAACAGGGCCCTGCAGTGACTTGAGTCGCATAGTCCCCTCTCAAGCGGGAGTGGTGGGGAGTGCTTGGCCTGCTGATGCCGCGGAGTAACATCCAGTAGGCTAGCACAAATCAGGTCCCTGCGCCTGGTGGTGCACCCTAGCAGTGAAACACTCAGTAGGTTGACCTGGAGGGTTGGGCCCAGCAGAAGCTGCCCAGGTCTGTGTCTCCCTAGTGCACTGCAGTGGGTGGGAACACCTAGCCGGCTAATTCAAACAAACTGTAACAGACAAAGAAAAAAAAACTGGGCCTCCTACATATGCTTCTATGGAAGGAACAAAAAGTATGGGAAAAGGGAGCAACAAGAAAGGGTCCTCAGTCCCCAATCCTGAGAACACTGATGCAGCAAAGATAAATAAATGCAAAAGAGAATGAAGACAGAAAACATTCAATATCTGACACGGCATCTATAGACATAAAGCAGTATCTCTGGAGCCTCATAAACGAAGTATTTAATGAAACAAAGCAAGAAATAAGTAGAATAGTTAGAGAAATGCTAAGCGTCGCCCAAGAAAAAACAGATGGTGGAATGGAAGAACAGAAAAAAAGGGAAGAATTGTTTGATGGAGAAAATAGAGAAAACATAGAATACATGAAGCAGGTTCAAAGAGATTACCAGAAAACTAAAAACTCCATTGAAAGCTGGCATAACAGCTTGAAAGAAACTAAGGATAGATTATCAGAACTGGAGGACAGATTTGTAAGGTGGGAGCATGAAATTGAAAACTTCTTAAAAATAACAAGAAAACAAACAGCAATAATACAAAGGCTAGAAGATGATAAGAGGATCTATAACTTAAGAATTAAGAACATAAAAGAAGAAGTAGGGACACAAACAAATGAACTACAAAAGCTATTCACAGAAATAATCCAGGAGAATTTCCCTAATTTAGCAAAAGGTAAAGATACTCACATGTATGAGGCATACAGGACCCCAGCCACCTACAACCCAAACAGAGCTACACCGAGGCATATATAATCAAAATTCCAGAAATCCAATAGAATACTAAAAGCAGTCAGAGACAAGAAACAGATCACTTACAAGGGAACACCCATCAGAATTACAGCAGACTTCTCGGCACAAACCATCAAATCCCAAAGATCATGGGGGAAAATAATTCAAGCTTTGAAAGATAATAACCTCCAGCCAAGATTGATATATCCTGCACAACTGTCCCTAGAAACTGATGGAAAAACAAGGTGCTTCCAGGATAAAGAGGAACTAGGGGAATTTGCAACCACCAATTCAACTCTACAGAGATTACTGCAGGATATTCTAAAAATGAAAAATACCAAGATTCCAGAAACAGTGGCAGAGCGGCCACAATGAATGGAGCAGAAAACAAAATGAAGAGGACAAACTGACAACTAACGACAGAAAAAGAGCTCAACAGAAATGAGGCAGAGAAGGTTGGATGGTAGGAACAGCCATTTTGGAAAAAACAAGACATCATAATAGGTAGTGCTGATTTAATATCCTCTTGTTTTGAAGTCCCATCAAGCTTTTGTTCTTCTGTTTCCATTGGTTTTAACATGCTATATCTTACGGGGTTTTATTATATGTGATAATATAAACAAAAATTTTTATAGACAAGGAGATTATACAGAAACCATTGTTCATTTTCTGTTAGTTGATTCTAAGTACCCTGTAATACTGTCATTCTCTTGAACGATTTTACATTGTCTTGACATGTTTGATGCTACAGTATACGAAGTTATACCCAAAGACTTTTAAGGGAAGAGACACTATGGTAACTACTATTATGTAGAGATTATCTTGTGGAAACAGTATTTTGCTTAAATGGCTATGTTTTGACCTGCACTGTTTTGTTGTTATGCCCTCTTTTTTATCTTTTTATTATCTACTTTTTCATTTTTATCCTTTTAACTAAGGGAAAAATAAATAAAAAATAGCAGGATATATTATAGTAACCCACTTTGATTTTCTATTAACTTGATTTGAAACTCTATATTGCTCTCACCATCTTGTTTTGACTGATTTTCCTCTATTCTGTTATGCTTGATAGTACCAAGCTTGAAAGTATAGGCAACAACTATGAAGACAATAAGATTCATTGTGATGCCCATTCTGGTTGACTATTATCTTCTTTTGAAGTCCTCTAATGCCTGCAATGTTTTGGTTTTATTGGTCTTATTCTTTACTGTTTTGTACAATTTTATTATAACTGATGATATAGGCAATTCTTTTTAAGATAACAAGAGGCATTATGGTAACTATTGTTGATCACCTTGTATTTTGTTTTTACATTATGTATTATGTCCATCCTTTTGATTTGACTGAGTCTGTCCTGGTATGTCACATTTGGTTTTACTTTCTTCAAAAAGAAAAGTAGTAAGAACTGTGGGAGTAATAAAACCCAAATGTGTAACTGTCATCGTACAAAAGAAAGGAAAAGAAAGTTCTCTAAAAGATATAACTGCATATATATTTAAGTGTATAAGATAGATAACCATATTACTGAGTTTTGTTGGATCATTGAGCAAAACTGTTCGCAATCTCACTGTTTGAAAGTCCCCTCTATATGCTTTTATTTTGTAACTTCAACAACTATTTCTAAGATGACAATATGTAATTAACTAGTGATTTCCTGTTTACTTTTTCTGAACTTCTGTATAACTTGTACCCTTTTTCTGTTTTTTTTTTTTTCTTTTTTCTCCTTAAAATTAAAAAAAAAAAAGAGAGAGGGTGTGTGAATACATATATATAATTCTTATATAAATACTGGTACATATAAACTATATATATGTTATAAAAACATCTGAGTATGTGAATGTATACATATAACTCATAAATACTGTGTATGTTTTATATATATAAATTGTAAATGCTTTTGAGGGGTTGCTGGGGATTGAACCTAGAGGCTACCACTGGGCTACATCCTCAGTCCTTTTCATCTATTTGAGATGTGCTAAAATTGTTCAGGTAAGACCAAACTTGCAATCTTTCTGCCTTGGTGTAGGGGTTAAAGGTGTATGCCACCATGTCCAGCCTAAATAATACTTAAGGCATGAATGATGGAAATGTGATTTGGTAATTCAGGAGAGTCTTTGCATTTTGAATTATCTTCATTAAGTTTGTCAAATTCTGTATGTTGACGAAAAATTAAGGAAAAATGCAGCTAGTATTAGAAGTTCAGTAAAGAGTTGTTAGGTAGTCATCTATTGCTGTAAAAGTAACCTAACTACTAAAATGCTTTTGCATATGTTTCATGTATAAGAATCCTATGAAGGGGACAGGGATATAGACCTGTGGTACAGCACCTGCCTGGCAAGGATTTTTCTAGTAAGATGTTTATTTCTCTAAGATTCCTCCAAATTGTGTCATGAATTTTTTTGCCTCCTGAGAGGGTCTTGCTACATAGTTTAGGCTGGTCTTGGACTCACTAAGTACCCAGCAGACCTCAAACTCATGGTAATCATTTTGCCTCAGCCTCCTAGTACCGGCTCTATTGGCGTCTGCTACCAAGACTAGCCATGTTTTTTACTACAAACATGTGCTTTCTTCATTCCTTAATTCAGTAAATTATCAAGTGCGAAGAATCTTACCCTAGGAAAATTTTCACACGAAGTTCTTTTTTAGTCCTTGAGATTGCCTTCAATGTGGTAATTTCTGCATCATACCAAAATCCTCTTTTTGCTGGATTCTCGACATTGTAATTAACCATTACCACATCACCAACATTTAGTTCATTCCATTTCAAAATGGTTCTAGCTCGTGGCCGAAGATCCTTGACATTCATTTCTAGAGTACCACTTTCCGGATATCTGAGGAGAAAGAATCACAGAACATAGTTTACAGTCATCACCAATGCTGAATAAAATTACATGTGACATACAGAAGAATCTAACTTGCAGAGCTGACCATCTGAGAGAAAAGGTAACACAAGTGGCAACAACCCTTAAACAGCAGGTACAGTTCACAGAGGCCTCTCAGCTATCCCACTGTGATAATAGGTTGATTTCTATGTGAGCGTGAGCTCTGGTCTCTGTCTCCCATCAGGCCTCCGGTTAGGGTCGCTTCACAGCTTACAGAACGTCAGACAAGTAATAAAAAACCTTAATAACATTTACTTTGAGAAATATACCATCTCTCTACCATACACTATGTATAACATATGACTATACATTCTTAATGACATTTAAATGATACACAGGGATTTTAGTTACCGAAGTATAATAATTCTCATTAAAATCTTAGGAAGACGTTGTTACCTGAGGGCTAAGAGAACAGTAAGGAAAGTTCTTCCCTATATTTTAACATTTAAGGATTTTTTTCAATAGTACTAAATATTCACCTTTCCCTGATCAAAAAACCAGTTGTTATCTGTGTCATTTGCTTTATGCATAGTAAGAACACAAACCTAGCATGTTCCAATAACCTCAATTTGTCAGGAAGAAAAAAAAAGAATCTAGGTGTGCATGTTTAGAGATAGGGTCTTGCTATACAGTTCAAGCTTGCCTCAAACTCATGACAATCATCTTGCCTCAGCCTCCTAAATGATGAGATTAGAGGGATGTTCCAACCTGCCCCCATTCCCCTTTATGCAGTACTGAAGACTGAATGCAGAGACTTTACATAGCTTTTTTTAGTTTAGAACAAGGTCTTTAAATCACTCAGGCTGGGATCACACTTGCAGTTCTCCAGCTTTAGCCTCCCGGAGTGCTGAGATTACAAGCACACACCACAGCAGGCTTAAAATTCATGTTCTTAAACACAGCATGGTTCCCAGCAATATTTAAAAATAAAACAAAAAAATCCAGAACTTCATATACATTTGAAAGAATTCTAGCAGAATCTTGGCTTTCTCCCTAAAGTTTTAGACCATTCTTCAATGTTAGATCTAACTTCTCAGTATTATCAGGCCAAAGTTCACACTAGCTTCTGTAAAATTAAGGCCTGCTGCTGATTTCTATGTATCAAAGTAAATGAGCTATAACATGATTCCTGCTCTTAAATGAGACAATCTATTGAAGTAAGCCAACCTGCTAAGCACGGTGCTCCTCAGAGCCATACTATCCATACTACTTGGAGATCTGCTACAAATGCCCATTTCTGGGTTCCACTTCAGACTTTGTGTCACAAACTCTGGAAAAGGGGCTCTGTGATCTATTTTTACAAATCCTCTCAGTGAGTCTAATGTATGTTTAAGTTTGAGAACCAGCGTTACAAGAAAACATGAGAATAACTAAATAATGCACTCTTGTGTGACAGCATTAAGCTAGAAACTAAGGAATGAAAGAAAATGTTACTACTGAACAAAAAGGACCCATTCAAAGTCAAAGTGGGTCTTAAGTTGGAAACTGCTTCTGCAGCTAGTCTTGGTTCCTCCAAATCAAACAGGTCTTGGTTCCTCCAAATCAAACAGGACTATGCAAGTCTGTAACTTTCACAGTAAGGTAAATTCCTTTAAAATAAATGGTAAAGTTCAGTGTAAGATCTCCAGCTAATCACCCAATTTAATCAAGTCTGTAAATGTCAATCATTGGGAAGTATCTAGAATTGGCAGGGGGGTCTCTGAGACTATGTGATTCTTTTATTCTCTCAATGTTATGACTCCCTTTGACAAGCTTTCCATCAGATTCCGCTTGTATGAAATGCAACGGGGCATTTTTAATCCTTAAAAAAGCCATGCTATCATCACATAGTTCTGACACAGGAAAGAGAAGTTTCTTAATACTGAATCTAAAACAGAACTTTTAAATGTCTTCTATGCAGTAGTACCTTGAATCTATCTACACACTCTCCAAAATAGACCTAATATTTGTCAGTTTAAATCTGCCTGGTACCTTTAGTCATTGTCTCTTTTAACCAAAATACTGTTTTTGGTGAATTTCTTCCAACTCACATGACAAAGTTTTTAATTTATTTATCATCCTAGTCCCTTCACTGAAAAGATATTATTATAAGGCTCCCCAATCTAGGGAAGTTGAATATTCCCAGAGTTTATATTCCTGTTGCTATGTTACTAAACTTAGTAACTGTTCCTCATCTGTAAAGTGTTAATGATAATTGTACTTCCTTTGGTGTTTTTAAGTACTTAAAAAAGAACAACAAAAAAAAAAATCAAATAAGTATCAGTTGTTCCAATTTTATCTTTGCTGTATAGATATTACCTCAAAGTAGGAACCTGAAAAGCACAAAGAGTCCTGTTCATGCTTCTCTCCCCTACCTCCATTTTAATCCTAATTTTAAGTAGTCATAGCTAAATACAGAAGTCTCTAGCCCAATACCTGGTGTTTACAAAATCATGTTGTTTCATATGGTTTTGTGGAAAAGTCACCATTTTTCAATATATTAAATGATATTAAACTATACCTTTTAAGATTTTTCTAATTTTTAAGTTGTGAATTCAATTTCTATCTAGATATTCTTAAGGCCATAAGACAGAAAAACTATTCTATTTTAGGCAAGATTATTTTCTCAGATATAATATGAATGTATATTTGATATCATGACATTATAATTCTGTGTATATTTAAAATAATACAGTAAAAACCATGTTTCAATGGATAAATAATTCTCAATTTGCCTAAGTTTACCAAAATTACTCAGATTGGGAATACTTTGAACAAGATACAGAACCTATACATTTTCAAATTATGGGTATGTAAAATCATGTTTAAATAGAGATAAAGCAAAGTAAGTCATTCCATACATGAAAGCAAGAATTTAATCTATTTACACCAGAAATTTGTACTGCTTGAAAACAGAAGTAAATTTATGTATACATATTCTTTATGAATGTGCACACACGTATGAAAGAAGTCTGTTAAGATGTGTAGCCAAAGATACATTGAGTCAATTGCCTGAGTTAAGGAGGAAAAAACCCTAGAAGATAATATAAAACTATTTTTAAAGAAAATCAAGAACATGTCAAGTACCCAAATATGTAATAGCAACATTAATTTTCTCCAGCACCTTCACCTACATATTCTTATTACTCAACTCTTAAACTTTCCAGATGCACATACCCAACACCCCCAACCCAGATGTCTCAGCAGCAATGTCTCTACCAAGTTACTAACTCCTTACAACACGCTGTTAACACTTCTTTGATGTAATTCTATACCCTTAGTTAAAATCTTCTCTCAGACTTAATGCCAAGGCCCAAATTATGTTTTTAGAATGCCTTTCAATCCTTACCGTACTTTTCCTAATTCTAAAACATAGATATTAAGATTTTTTTGATGGGCTATGGGAAAATGGATACTTTCATATATTGCTTATATAGGACTACAAAGTGGCACTTATCCCCTTGTAGAGAGAACGTGGCAACAAACAAAACTGCCTATGTATTTAACTTTTATCCAGGAATTCAACTTCTAAGAATCCATCCCAAACATAAATAGTAAAACTCTTCCGAGAAGTATTTATATGCAAATGTATTATATAGCTGCACTATTTGTAATAATAAGACTACAGAAACAATGTAATGTTCACAATAGATGATCACTTAAAATAAAATGGTACAGCCAGTTCAGGGTCATATACGAAGTAATTCCAGCTACACAGGAGGGCAATTAAACAAAATCGTGCTTTCATATAAAAAAACAAGGCTGAAGATATGGTATAAGAATACCCTGGGTTAAATTCCCAGTACTAGAAAATGAAACAAGAAAGATACGATAGGGCCGGGAACGTAGCTCAGCAGTGCAGCACTTGGCGAGGCCCTGAGTTTGATTCTCAGTGCCAAAAAAGAAAATAGATTAAAAAAAATTTTTAAAAGATACAATTATATAATGGAACACTATATTCCTATAAAAAAAAGGAATAATTTAGTGATCTCCAGAATGTATTAACTCAAAAAAAGCAAGATTCAAAGAGTAAATGTAGTGTATTATTTTCTACCTTGGTATATAAGTTAATGCAAGTTATCTATGAGACTCAGTTTCTCTTACTGTCTTGTTTCCAGGATTAAATTATGAACTGTATTTCATGTAATTATAAAACAAAAACAACAAAATTGAGAAATTCCTTAAAATCAAAAGAAAAATCAGAGAAACACATAATTGATGGCTTACCTACATTGAAAGGAACTTATACAAGTGATTTGAATATATACTAAATTGATTATCAGCCTAAATGATGTACTTTCTAAGGATAAAAAAGAAAAAAACTTTCAGTAATATTATTTATAATACTAGTACTTCTGGTTTGAAATTACTACATGAGTAAGACACAGAAAATTAGTATTAGAAACCATAATTTTCAGAGTAAAAGAGAATAGTAAATTACAAGTCTTAAACCCCAAAGTTTATCAAAAATAACAATATAAACAGTATATATTAGTATATGTATTTCCTAGCTCTCTCCAATGAAAAGGTCTAGAAATAAAACCACATAAATTATCAACAAGCAGCCTAGATTATGAATATAATTTCTAACCAACAAAGACTCCTTAAAAACTGTCTGAACCCAAGTATAGGGCATCCTTTGTACTTAAAGAAGTACTTAAAAATTGTTAGGTTTAACCTGAAGGGGGCCTCGATGGGTCAAAATGGAGACAATCTGGGTAACAAAGATGACAACTGAAGTAGATTAAAACAAGTATTAAGATTCATTAGTTCACACTCATACTTAAAAGTAAATTGGCCTACAATTAAGGACCCAGAGTTTATCCTACATTTCATATTCAAACCAACTGGTTATTAGCTAATAAAGAAACGATCACTGTGTTTATATACTTAATGAAATAAGTCTACGTAAAGATTAATGGCTGCTAAAACCATTAAAGCAGGTACATTCTGAAATTGATGGAACTGGC